TCAATATTGTTGCAATATCTGTCTGTATTTGTCCATTTCAAAGAGAATAGAAATATGCAAACTTTTAAGATGTTAAGATCAGTGCATCTGGAAAGAACTTGGAAAAAAATATCTTTACTTGCTTTTTAAATCCCAGTGACAGTATTAGTAAGCATCTGTTATGAATGCTTCCTCACTTTGTATGTTTCATCTCAACTTTAACCAAGCAAACTTCCTATGATTGTAATCAAGTCAAACTTGTTTTCTCCTTTTTCTCCCAAGCTTTGTGGTACTTGCTTTGAAGATATCCAATTTGCCGGCCTGAAATTCTTTCAGCGTTAAATCTAGATTCATGAAAGGGCAGCACTAATTAGCATAAAGAATTGTGGAAACACGGAAATTATCTTATGCCAGCTAAACCATGCTAGTTCAGTCTTGTCCAGTTCCTAGCTGATAGTAATTCTCCAGGAATTCTAACAACTCTGGAATTGAAGTTGGAATCTTTTCTATGTAAAGTAGAGATAGAGCCCAGTTCTCTTCAGATATTTTGGAACAGGTCCAATTGGCTTAATTACCATGCCAGGAATTATGAGGGATACAGCTTAAAAATATTTATTCAGCATGGCACTGTAAGATTCAAAGTATTATTGAAGAATGACATTTGTGTCCCACTAAATTTGTATTTATTATTAAATTTACATGCTACCCATCTCACTATTGAAGAGACTATTGAATAACATCTGCAGTTGAGAAATCTAAGTTCATATTCATTTTTTAAAAAGATTTAATTACAAAAGGAATGGGTATCTATTAGCCCCAAAAATGCAACTTTGGCTTCCAGCTGCTTGTTATCTGTAGTCTCCATCCTAGTGCTACCAATCCCTCTGACCCAAAGAAGAAGAAAGGAAGGCTTTATCTGGTGGACTGCTCTGGGCAGGTAGCAGTGGAGAAACCAGGAAAAGACATGAAAATGTTTCAGTGGAGTGGGAATGATGTGTGGGGGGTGTTTCCCCAATACACAAGAGCAGCATGTGGGTTTGAAATGGGGAAGATCTCAATGTTTTTGGTGTAGAGTAAAAACCCCGACTGCTCTTTAGAAGGCCAGATCCTGAAGTTGAAACTCAAGTACTTTGGCCACCTAATGAGAAGGAAGGACTCACTGAGAAGGGCCTAATGCTGGGAAAGATTGAGGGCAATAGAAGAATGGGATGACAGAGAATGAGGTGGCTGGATGGAATCACTGAAGCAGTAGGCATGAGCTTAAATGGACTCCAGAAGATGGTAGAGGACAGGAAGGCCTGGAGGAATGTTGTCCATGGGGTCGCGATGGGTCGGACATGACTTCGCAACTAACAACAAACAACAACAAAAATGTATACGTGTAAATTCATAAAGTGTTATAATTTCAGGAGTGGGGCTCTAATTCCCATCTCTGTTTTCTCAGATTCTTGGATAAATTACAGGTAGTCCTCGACTTAACAACGGTTTGTTTAATGACTGTTCAAAGTTACAATGGCACTGAAAATAATGACTTATGGTCATTTTTCACACTTACGACCATTGCAGCATCCCCATAGTCATGTGATCAAAATTCAGATGTTTGGCAACTGACTCGTGTTTATGATAGTTGCAATGTCCCGGGGTCATGTGATTACCTTTTGCAAACTTTTGACAAGCGAAGTCAACGGGGAATCCAAATTCAAAACTCATTTAACAACTGTCTCATTTAGCAATAGAAAGTCTGCACTCAATTGTGGTCGTAAGTTAAGAACTATCTATATTATCATATAGTCTCGCCATTTTCCCTTTTGGTGAAATAATTTCTGCCATTTCCATTTATGAATGGAAACAGTTGATGGGTTTCTAATAGTTCTCCACGTGTGTCCACTGACACCCCACCCCCCAAAGATTAAAAATCCTTCAATCATCACAGGATATGGAAAAGCATTCTAGTTTAATTCAGTATTGGCTTTGCATTTTTTAAAAAGAAAGGCGCTTGTTATTAGTGTGTGTTTTAAAAACAGTTACAGTGAAATAACAGTTAGAAATTTTCCATATGTAGGTAAAGTGAGAGAACAATTGAATTGTTTGTTTTTAAGTTTTAACTGTTGGTTATGAAGAAAATTTAAATAGTTGTCCAAACACATAACCAATCCTGTGGTAAAGCAGGAAACGGAATCCAAATTGGCTGCTGTTTTCCTGTGCTTTAATCATGAGACCCATCCTTGGGGGCTGAAGTTCTAAAATAGTAGCAGTAGAAGAACAAGGATATTCTAATTCCTTAGATGTCATGGCATTTTTCTTCCCACTACCCCAGGAGTTTTGTTTTCATCAATGGAATGCAATTACACTCATTCCATACTCAAGAAATTAAGTCATTTATATCTCTATTTGTTTATATTAGAATCCTGGTGGGAAGGAGGAAGTTGTGTGGGAAAATTCTTTTTCCCTGCCCCCCCCTTCCCCTATTGCAAAGTATAAAATTTGTGGAGTGAAAATGTAGGGCAGTTTCTTCCAACCTGGTGTTGTGGCTGCAAATTCAGAACACCCAACTGGCATCTGAAGTTTGCCAGGTTGGGGAATGTAGGGGTAATGGCATTACTATTGAAATAGAGTCCTGAGCAGGGCCTGACCCAAAGCAGTAACTTTTTGACATATTTTGGCTTAAATATGGCCATACATCTGTACCTCTTTCTAAGCGTACTGTAGTTCTTTGACCTTTGAATATACTGGCTATTTCAGAATGTGTTGTATTGGGACTATACCCCGATGAACAGCTGTTTTTTTATTTTCAAAATATCAGAGAAGCTTAATTTTAAAAAAGAGGTTATTTTTAAAATCCTCATTAGACGTGACCTTTCAACTTAACATTTTTTTTAAGTTTTCCCCTTCTGTTGTCTAAAGATAACATTTTCTCCATAGAATTTTTCAGCTATGAGACTTATTCTCTAGCTGCTTCAGCATTTTTTGTTTCTTGAAACTTTTCCTTATTACATGATAATAAATAACAGTTCAACTATTTTCACCTCTAGCTGTTTGGTTTTTTTTTGCTTTTTAATAATAAATGAAATTACTGCTAACTTTTGCATGCAAAAAAGCCTTTGCCAAGTCATTTAGCTTTGCTAATTGTGCGATATACTTTTTGGAATAGGAGCTTATATCCTACCAGTTTGCCAAGCTTATCAACCCCCCCCCCCTTCTCCTGTGGTGTTACTCAGTTCTCATAATTTCAAGTTGGTATTTGTTGTTCAATAGATCTGAAGGCATCAGGCCAGACAGTTTTTATAAGATAACAATGTTACTGTGCAATTTACATGCAGAATCCTTTAAAAAAATTGTTACTGTTTTAATGAAGTGGTGTTCTTAACGTTTCTGAGCATTCTGAAATACTTTTCCTGGGTATTAAGAAATCTTTTCCTTTTCAAAGCATGATGATAACCTGCCTGCCTCAGTTTTTGTAATTTGCTCTGATCTATAGACTCTGCGTAGCAGCATGTAACAGAGTGATAAAAATAAGACCGTTCTAAGAAAGAAACAAAAACAATAAATATATTAAATAGGGCGGGGGGAAGTCCCCAACATGTACATGTTGAAAGTACAGCAAAGCACTCTTTGTAGAGCAGCTGGATAGGCCTTTGGGATAAAAGAAGTCAATTTGCCATATAGAGGTAATAACCAACGCTTCAAAATAAGCTTGGTAACTTAATAACTAGTGCAGGATCTTCAGCTGTAGTTTTACTCTATACTGAATTCTGGGCCAGCTGAATTTAGAAGGACCCTCGGTTCATGACCAGATCACAAACCAATTCTTTTGAAGGGAACAGAAACACTTTTGGAAAAAACTATTGAAGCCAGCATTGTTGAATAAGTATAATAACATATTCTTGGGAGGATTTATTATTATTTCTTTGTTTTCAATCTTTGTATATTTGTGAACAACTTTTCTTTTCAGTAGTTCTGCAGCTGCTGACCCTGTTTGCTCAGCCAGTAGACCTGAGGCCTATAGTTCATTTGTCATCAGATGTCCAAGAATTCCAACACATAGAGCAGTCCTTGTTGACCCAGGCATTGACCAATCCAATATGGGTTTCTGTAAATTACATCCATCTCATCATATTTTTTGTGAGAGAGACACTCTTCATCTGGCTGCTCAGATGAGACCTGTCCAGGATGGTTGAACCTCTGGCATAGCTCTTATCTTCCTCAAAGCACACAAGCTCCACAACCATATCAAGGTGCCTCCTTGTGGGATGATGATGATGATGAAGGTTCAGACTTGGATTTGGCATTTTTATCCACCTATGGAGTCCTTCCCAAGGACCTGAATTAGCAGTTCCCAAGATCCTAGGGTAGGGAAATGTCGTTTGATGGTGTTAAAGTTATCATTGCAGAATGTAAGCTATTACAAGTAAAGCTGGCTTTTGCAATTGACTGATAGTGGTTTGCTTTCAAGTGGTGCTACAGATGTTTTGGGATTGCCCAAAGGTGGCTATTACTATTCGTAATAACTCAAGATCGTACTCCTCCTGTAAAATGTGTTGGGCTGAGAGAAAACAAATGGCTCAAGGATATCCAGCCACCTTTCATCCCTAAAGAGAATGATTGATTTCTTGATTTCTAGTCCTACACCCTAACTCAGGGGAAGGCAACCTTGGCTTTTTTATGACTTGTGGACTTCAACTCCCAGATTTCCTGAGTCAGCATGGCTGGTTGAGGAATTCTGGGTATTGAAGTCCACAAGTCATAAAAGAGCCAAGATTGTCTACCCCTGCCCTAACTACTACATAAAATTAGCTGTCAGTTTAATTTAATCTGAATTTAATCTATAGATGTTAACTGAGTGGTTAAAACATCCAACATTGTGAGAGATATTTAACTCCTGAATTAAACATATTGAAACATTTACCTGTGACAGTGAAAATAACTAGTACCACTATACTATAAGTGGAGCTATTGCTAATATATTTTGTAGGAATATTTGCAATGTCACCTATTAAAACTACTTTCTTACTTTGTTACAGACTTATATCGGGAGTGTGGTAATATCAATAAATCCATACAGATTGCTCCCAATTTATTCAGCAGACAAAGTGGAAGAATACAGAAACAGAAACTTCTATGAACTCAGGCCCCACATGTAAGTATAAGGCTGAAGCTTTCCATCCATCCTCTTCTTTAAGCAACATAGGTTATAGATAGAAACAGCTGTTTCCTGTAAGAAGGAGAATGTGTTTGATCTATTGTGCCTTTGATTAGCACTTAGAATATGGTATATTTGCAGCTTGTTTCTCCCCCCAAGGGAGGAAATCTGGATACTTACTCAGTTAAAGTTTTAGAATGTGTTTTTATAGTTGAAGAAAGTTATTTTCTAGTAATATCTCCCCAGATAAAAAGAGCAATACTGGGCATATTTTACATGCCTTTGTGGTTGTTATTCATTTCCTTTATATTTTTTCATTACTAATTTTATCCTTTTTTATTCTATGTAACCCTTGGACAAAACAATACATTTATAGTAGTCATTCCTACCCAGCAAGTAGCATGGAGTAGAACTGGACAGCTAAACAGGTGTTATAGGTAGAGACAAATATGTAGCTTTAGATCATTTTCCTCAATAAATGAATAAACAAGTATAATGTTTTTCTTGTTCTCTTTATCTAGGTTTAGGACTTGTGTGGAGAACAGGTCATGTCTTATATTTACATAGAAATATTGAAAAGGCTTCACAAACTTTTAAGCTTCATTGTAAATATACAGTTAGTTAACTTTACTTATAGCCAGTTTTCCAGTGAGCTGTGAGAAGTAAAAGTCTTCTGCTTTGAGAGCAATTACTTGCAAACTGTACCATCTAGATGTGGACCAGACAGAGGCTTGGATCTCCATTTATGTAGCAGGAAAATTATTGTTGTTAACTTCCTCTTCAGCTGCAGCTGTCTGCATAATATATCCTAGCATTTTTCGAGGAGCAGATAAAAAAATATACCAGGAAGTGGTGGGGGTATAGTAGGAAAGCTCTATTCTGTAAGTGCGACAGAAAGGAAATCTATACATTTAAGCCAACATATGAAAATCAAATCCACTGTCTTTATTTTTGTGAAAGACAAGTACAGAATAACACCCAATAATATAAAATAGAGTATACATACTAGGCATATCAGCCAGCCAGCTGTATATGAAGTAGAAGAATTTAATTACATTTAGAGCAACAGAATCATGAATTTCTAAACATACTACTGGTAATTGTAAGTTAAATTGTTCAGTGTGACTAGGAAATTTGCTTAAAATGTGGGGTGATCAACGCTAACTCCATAAATGGTACAACATTTATGGTACATAAATGGTACAACATAATGTAATAAAATGAGTTCAGCAATTTAGTGGTCTCAGTTATTATTTTGCCATTTACGCAAACCTTAGCTTAAATGCAATATCTTTGAATTTCTCTTTTAGGACTGCAGCTGACATATCTGGATGAATGATTTAATTTTATATAACCAATATTTTCTACTGTGTACAAAATTAACTAAGGGAGGTTTGTTTGTACACGTAATTCTTCTTTAGAAAGAATGTGGTTCCTTTGCTCCTTTGCTCTCTCCATATTTGGGGCAGCCTCTCCTCCTTTTTTAGCAGCTGTCCACCTCATTGTGAATTTCAGAGAGAAGCCTTTTATGGACACATTTGACAGATGGAGAGGTAGGAATCATAATAATGGGAAAAGCCTTTTGGATAAGCTGCCTTTCTCTTAAACTACTTAGTATCTAAGCCTTTGTTTTTTTCATTCATTTGGTTTGTATCCTACCTTTTTTTCTTAAATGGCTATTCAAGTTGGCTAACAGTGGGTAAAACAGAGAAGACAAAAGGTTTAAGAAGTTCAATATAAATTAACACCACCGTAAGCTTTATTAAAAGTGTGGCAGAAGAGAGGAGAGGGTCCAAGAAGACTCCAGAGGAAGGGGAATGTACAAGCTGGGAGTGGTCTTTGCATGCTAGAGAACTTAACCTTTTATGCAAAGTACCTCTCTAAATTCAGGATGAGTGTAATGTAAGGAAAAAAATATTTATTCAAAATAACTGTCTATGGAGATTTTCAGTCATCCAGGTCATGGTTGTCCCAAAGGTGCTTTTTTCAAGAGGCAGCTGGCCTTTGTTTTTCCTTGAAGACACTTCGCTTCTCATGTAGGAAGCTTCTTCAGTTCAGTTATTCAAAATAACTGTCATATACAATAGTACCAGTGTTTTGTGTTTGATAATGAGAGGCAATAGATGTGAGTCAAGAAATTTATGTTCCTAAATCCTGTTAGAATTTATGAATATAAGCTCCCAGTTATAATTTTCATTTCAGTGGGGTTTAAGGCAGTCTCATAAAGCCAAAAGCTAATAGTAATCTTCCTCAACATGGTGTCTACACTAGACTACAGCTCCTACCTGTCCTCAGCCATAGGCGATAGAAGGTAGTAGAATATATTGATTTGGAGAATGCAGGGCTTGCATTTTTGTACTGACTTCTGCCATGAACAGCATGGAAAAAGAGAACATTAACCATTCAACAGGATGGTAAAAATAACTACATTTGAATAAGTAGGCTGAAAGACAAGGGGAAGAAATGAGGAATAATTTCTCTTCCTCCATGACCAGTGCAAAATCAAGAAGCTAATACAGAAAAAGAGAGCCTGCCTAAAAATAAACTCTTTCCTTAAAAGCAATTACTTTATGGTTCTTAGACAAATGTTAAATTGAGGGCTGACATAGATATGGAATTCTGAAATAGGAATCCCAAAGATGCTTTTTCATGAGGCAACTGGACTTTCTTGTTTTACTTTGAAGATGTTTTGCTTCTCATCCAACAAGCTCTGAAGAAGCTTCTTGGACGAGAAGCGAAACGTCTTCAAAGAAAAACAAGAAAGTCCAGTTGCCTTGTGAAAAAGCATCTTTGGGATAGCTATGACCTGGATGACTGAGAATCTCCATAGACATCTGAAATTGGAATGGACCACACGGATCATTAATCCAATCCTCTGCAGTATTGAAGGCAAACCCTGCTTTAGGACTGGCACTCCAGCTTTTCTTAAAAACCTTTTGAGATGAGAACCCACAACCTTCCTAGGTTGATTCTTCCACTGTTACAGTATATAGGTCTTCCTGTCATGAAGCTTTTCTTTGTACCAATGAAGGAGAATATTTGTAGCTCAGGGTTATTGCTTGTTTTCTTGCAGACATTTCATTTTCTTCAGACATTTCAGAATACCCTATGCTAGTCTGATGATGTTACCTAGTTAGGGTAATGAAACGTCTGCAAGGAAACAAGCAAGCAAGCAAAACAAGGAAGCAAGCTCAGAGAGCACCAAGGACCCCTCAGCTGTTCTTTGTGTTTAAATCAGATCTAGATAGCTGCAATGTATACTGATAGTCCTCATTCCTGTGGCAGTGGAATATGGTTCCCCATAGCAGCCTCTCAGATACCTGAACACTGATATATTGTCTCCACTCAGCCTTCTTTTCTCCAGATTGAACCTCCAAGGTTCCTGGAATCTATACTCCCAGTACATGTCCTCCAGTCCCTGTGTAATCTTTGTAGGGGGTCTGAATGCTCTCTGTATCAGTATTCTTCAGGAAACGTGGTGCCCGGAATTATACATAACACTGAAGATGTGGTCTTGCCAATACCAAAGAATAATAGCTTCACATCTCTTTGATCCAGGGCTTATTATAATGCAGTCCAGAAGAGCATTAGCCCTTCTGGCAGCTGTCTCACACTACTGATTCCAGTTAGCATGTTGTCAATAAGTGTATCAACATCCTTCTCCACTATAGCACTTCCAAGCCATGAATCCTTCATCTTGTATGTGNTTTGATTTAAAATGAGAAACAAAGGAAGTAAGAAGGAATAAGGAAAATGTAAGAAAGAAAATAGAAAAAGAAATAGAAGAGAAAGAAAAGTTTCTTAAAAAATGGCTTCCAATCTTTTTGATGGCAGTTATAATTATATTAGAATGGAACGGAACAGAACAGAATAGAATTCTTTATTGACCAAGTGTGATCAGATACATAAGCTGATATTGTATCCTTTCTAAGGTTACATCATGGCTATAAGAAAAAATAAATAAATATAATTTTATTGAGAAATTTTTTTAACAAGATAAAAACAATATAAAACCTAAAACGAAACAAAATAAGAAAGAATAGTGAACAAATAAGAAAGAAAATAGAAAAAAGAAATAGAAAAGAAAGAAAAGATTCTTTAAAACCGGCTTCCAATCTTTTTGATGGCAGTTATCATTATTACATTATGGCCCTAAGAAAAGTTCTAAAATCAATATTGTTGCAATATCTGTCTGTATTTGTCCATTTCAAAGAGAATAGAAATATGCAAACTTTTAAGATGTTAAGATCAGTGCATCTGGAAAGAACTTGGAAAAAAATATCTTTACTTGCTTTTTAAATCCCAGTGACAGTATTAGTAAGCATCTGTTATGAATGCTTCCTCACTTTGTATGTTTCATCTCAACTTTGACCAAGCAAACTTCCTATGATTGTAATCAAGTCAAACTTGTTTTCTCCTTTTTCTCCCAAGCTTTGTGGTACTTGCTTTGAAGATATCCAATTTGCCCGCCTGAAATTTTTTCAGCGTTAAATCTAGATTCATGAAAGGGCAGCACTAATTAGCATAAAGAATTGTGGAAACACGGAAATTATCTTATGCCAGCTAAACCATGCTAGTTCAGTCTTGTCCAGTTCCTAGCTGATAGTAATTCTCCAGGAATTCTAACAACTCTGGAATTGAAGTTGGAATCTTTTCTATGTAAAGTAGAGATAGACAGCCCAGTTCTCTCCAGATATTTTGGAACTGGTCCAATTGGCTTAATTACCATGCCAGGAATTATGAGGGATATAGCTTAAAAATATTTATTCAGCATGGTACTGTATGATTCAAAGTATTATTGAAGAATGACATTTGTGCCCCACTAAATTTGTATTTATTATTAAATTTACATGCTACCCATCTCACTATTGAAGAGACTACTGAATAACATCTGCAGTTGAGAAATCTAAGTTCATATTCATTTTTTAAAAAGATTTAATTACAAAAGGAATGGGTATCTATTAGCCCCAAAAATGCAACTTTGGCTTCCAGCTGCT